AATTAGTGATAAGGAGTAAGGTAATATATATATATATATTAGCAGTGAGATAGTATTATATCATAAGAAGAATCAGAATGGAATTTGGTTTGTTTTGTATGTTTTTATTTTTACATAAAGAACAAACAACTTTTAGTACATTTGGGAGACAGGACGCCTCTTGTTGAGGCAGAATGGAAGATAAGCCAAGATAAATTGGACAAGATAACTTTTCATAAAATGAGATGAAATGAGAGACAAGGAGTATGTAGAGCAGTGTCAAAGAAGGCAAGATCAGTAACATATGTTAATCTCTTACCAGTTTTTAGATAAACACAGATTCTGCTTTGAAAAGGTAGTTCTTTTTATTTGAGTAAGTATCACTATTCATTCCCTGCATAGCTCTTTCTATTGGAAGGATTTCAATTAATTCAAAATGTGTTATTATATCATTTTTTTGTCAAAAAAGAATGATCAAAACAGGAATGAAAATTAGTTAGAAAGGAAGGAGGAATGAAAGAGAAAACAAAATGAGAGAAAAAGGAAGGGAGAAAGTGTTGTTTATTAATTTATTAATATTATTGATTGCTCGGGATCTTTTCATATGTATTTATTCTTTGGTGAAATGCATTTTCAAATATCTTGCCCACTTCTAAATGTGTTTGTTTTTCTTATCGTTGAGTTTGGATAGTGCTTTATACATCTAGAAACAAGACTTCTTTGGATGTTTAAATTGAAACTATTTCCTCCCCAGTCCGTGGTTTATCTTTTCATTTTCTTAACAGTGTCTTTCACAAAGTGACAGTGTTTACTTTTGTTGAATTACAATTTATTAATTTTTTTCTTTTTTAAATCATGGATTTGGTATCATATCAAAAACTCTTTGTTCAACCCAAGTTCATGAAGATTCTCTCGTGTTACATTCTAAGGGTTTTGCAGTCATATATTTTACATGGTAGGGGCCCAGAACAGGCCACCTCAAGATGGGCCACTTTGACACAAAGATTATTTTGAGTTAAAAGTAATGAAAATCCAGCAAGGGGAAAAAAAGCTCTTTGCCCCTCCTTCAATTGCCTAAATTTACATTGGAAAGGGGAGCCTGTAACAGGAAGAGAGCTATTAACAGAGACTGTCCCTTTCCTAAGGAACTTACCTGCATAACAGGATAACCTTATTTTTCCAAATATCTCCTTTGACCTAAGAGGGTTTCTCTCTTTTGTATCATCAGGCCCCTACCCCTCTCCTTAGCTCGCATAAGCTTCTGGTTGCCTCATCCTCTTCGGAATTTCATGTCTTTGTGGATTCCCCATACATAAGCTTATTAAATTTGCTTTTCTCTTGTCTGTCTCATGACAATTTGATTCTAAATCCAGCTAAAAGGACCATAGCACAGAGGGAGGTCTTCTGCCCAGACAATATTTATTCTGTTGATCCATTTTGAGTTAATTTTAATATAACATTGTAAGGTATAGGTCATTCCTTTTTTTTTTAATGTAGACATCTAATTATTCCAGCACTATTTCTAGAAAAGTCTTTTTCTCCATTGCATCCTATTTGCAGCTTTTAGAAATCAATTGATCATATTTCTGTGGGTTTATTTCTGGACTCTATTATGTTCCATTGATTTATGTGCCTGTCCTTTCACTAAGACCGCCTTGTCTGGATTAATGAAATTTTACAGTAAATCTCAAAATGTGTTAGTCTGATTCTTTAAACTTTGTTTTTCTTCTTCAAAACTATTTGTTACTTTAATTCTTTTACATCCCCATGTAAATTTTAGAATCAGCTTGTCTGTATCTATAAAGATTACTGCTGGTATTGAAGAGGAAAATTACCCAGAGCAGGCCCAGGCTGACAGGCCCCAGTAGATAAAAGTTACTAGAAAAAGCAAGAGATAACCAGAAACCACCCCCTGGGAGCAAGAGATAACCAGCCATTTCTGCTTCTGTAAATAAGCTTCTCCCAATACATTTTTTATTTAGGTATAGTTGACACACAATGTTATATTAGTTTCAGGTGTAAACCATAGCGATTTGACAAGTTTAAACATTATGCTATGCTTACCAAGAGAGAGGAGCTACCATCTGTCACCATAGTTATTACAATATCATTGACTGTATTCCCTGTGGTGCACCTTTCAATCCC